AACTACCATTATACAGTCACATATATATCTTTTGCCAATCCAATAAATGGGTGAAAATGGAGCAACTAAAATGATTATGTGAAGAAATATCCAGGATCATCATAAATGTACCACCTTCTCATGCCGTTTAACTCTATGCATCCTTATAAATACCTTTTATACTAGACTAAGGACTTTTTGCCCCAGCTGAAAAGTAAATGTATGAGATAATGTGGCCAGAATTAAAAGCTCCAAGTGTGACTCATTAGCTAATTGAAATTAAAGAAAAACACAGTTTCATGTTAAGCGTCACTATTTGTGTCCTCCTTGTTTTGTACTCTTTGCCTTCATCTTCTTCATCTCAATCCCTACTTCACAAAGTACGCCTTCTAATCAAATATGCATAACCGTTTATGCATAAGATCATCTCCCAGTTGTATTTAGTCCTCAAGGCCCCCATGTCAAATCATGATGTTCATCGTAGAATCTTGATAGTCTTTCGAGTAAATAGATATTGTTTCATATCCTTAGTGCTTGGTGCATCACCCATCCTAGGAGCGCTTATGTATGAGCATGTATAAGTTTGGAGTTTCTGATGAAATTCTGACCATTACATCATTAATTATATGGGCATGTTTACATTTAAAAGTTTAACTTTATTTTCTTAAGGAGTTTCATAATCTCTCCCAATTAACTAACTAACATCTTCTTTGGTTTCCTTAGCCCACAATTATCCATCGGCTAGATAGAATTCTAAAAAGATAGAGTTCCTATCTTTTGCGTAGTGTATTACTGTATTGCTCTAATACCAATTATAATAACTCAAACTCGTAACTATCGAGATGTTATCTGCTTTGACCTATTAGCTTTATGATTTTGTCTACTTGGTGTAACTTATCATCCTAGGAGCGCTGCTATATTAGCATGTTTAATTTAATAATTTCTAATGAAATTCCAAACGTTACATCAAAAGGCACATCGATACTTAAAATTTTAATTTTATTTTCTCAAAGGGTTTCACATTTGGATCCCCCTAAGAGTAATCTTACTTGTTGAAGCCATGAGTTGAAAAACTTGCATGGTTTTCATTTTTCAGTATTTATGACAACTTTCCTTTTGAACTCTTGGCGTTAAATTCTTCTGTGATGGCATTCTTCAGTGCATAAATTTTTGTTTTGGAAAATACATCCCTCACAAATAAATTCCATCTCTTGTACCCATTGGTGAAGTCTGCTTATGCTTGAACCAGCTAAACTGCAGGAACTGGGAACTCACTGCACCGTGGACTGGGATTCAAATAAAAGTACCCACAAAGTTCATTTTAGGGGATCAAGATGTAACCTACCATTTCATGGGCTTAAAGGACTACATAGAGACAGGTGGCTTAAAGAGAGATGTTCCATTGCTTGAAGATTCTGTTTTAATGAAAGGTGTTGGGCACTTCATAAACCAGGAAAAGCCTGAAGAAATATCTCACTACATTTATGAATTCATCAAGAAATTCTGATCATTCTGATCAATGATTGTTGGTAAACTTGTGCTATTTTTAAAGCTTAATAAGCTCACTGATGGCCATCTGATCAAACCTTTGTGATCGATTTAGAGCTCTTAATTGTTGTAATAAATGATCAGCATGATTAACTTCTCTGTATGGACAAGCTCAGATCAAAATTTGATCTGTTTTGCCTTAAAATGTCATGTGATGAAACATTTGTGGACCAAATGGTATAAGAAAATACCATGATATGTGGATAAATCGGCTTGGCGATAAAATCTTTCATATAAAATTTGTGGACCAAATGATTTTTTTGTATTAGGAAGTTATTTTTATAGAAGTTTTAAAAAGGTTGTTTTTTTTACAATAGTTTTATAAATTCCTTCATAAAAAAATATAGTCGTTCTAAACAAATCCTTAATCAATGAAAGAGTATACATAGTAATTAATAATAATATAAATTCATTAATTATAGTCTATGATAATTGTATACATGAATTATAAAAAGAATATTACATTTTTAAACAGTTATTAAAAATACAACAATTTTAATCATTAAAAATATAAATACATATTTCATGTGTTATATTCATTTGTGGCTCTACATGTGAAGACCCTCCATCCAACCAAAAATTTGTTTGATAAATCTTGTGCAATGGTAGCACCGCTATCATTTATACAAGCGGATTTCAAAGATCAATCATGTGCACCGACTAGGGGTGTAAACTCAAGCTTGAGTCATGCGAGCTTAACTCGAGCTTTGACTCAAGCTCAAATAACATGCTCGACTTGACTCATGGCAATTGATGCAGGCTCACAAGCCAACTCGCTAGGCGTAAGAAGAATGGGCAGATGTTCGCTTCTGACTTTCATTCTGGGTTCCACTTTCCGCATTCGAGCCGTTCAATGTGTCAACTAATCGAGCAATGACTCAATCGAACTCGACTTCAATTATCCAACGAGCTCGTAAATCTGCTCGAGCTCGAAACTCGATAAGCTCGGCTCTTGAGCTTTTTATCGAGTCGAGCTAATACAGGCTCGTGAGTCGGCTTGACTCATTTGCAAAACTAGCATCAATTGTGTTGCCACAACATATTGCACATCGAACTCCTCTAAAACTTCTCCAACAGCCAGATTTACTACTAAAAATTAGATAGATTGTGACATAAACAAAACTGATCAATCTTAGAAAGCCAGAAATGCGGCTATTAAAATAAGAAATGTTGCGTCCTGGAATATTTGCGGCGATAGAGAAATATATTGTTTAATGTCTTAGCATTGTAAAAAGATCTAGCACACAAGAAAATGAAAGAGATAGTGTATCGTTCATAAGAGGCTAGAGTTTTTTCATGGAAGCCCCTGAAAATGCGGAAAAACCACAGGGCCTAACCCAGTTTGAATGAATACACTAGTATTTGCAATCGATTACAAATGTGGCCCTTCCTTGGGAGAAGGCATTGGCTTGATGTCACAAATGTACGTCATATAGAGCGCATTACATGGTTGGAGTTACAATAATCAACATAGACATATTTGTTTGGTCAAAAAGACCATAATCGATAGGATAGATGTCGAAAAGATCATAGTAGGCGACGAAGGTCGGAAGGATCGTAGTCGGCATGAGATAGGGGTCAGAAAGACTGTTATCTAGCGAGAGAGGTCATAAGGATCGTAGTCGGTAGAAGACCGGGGTCAGAAAGGCTGTTGTCTGACAATTGAGGTCGGAAGGACAGTAGTAGGTGATGGAGATCGAAAGGATTATATATAGTCGGCAGGAGATAGGGGTCAGAAAGACCATTATCTGGCAATGGAGGTCAGAAGGTTCGTAGTATGCGATGGAGATCGAAAAGACCATAGTCAGCAGGAGACATGGGTCAGAAAGGTCGTTGTCTAGCGATGGAGGTCGGAAGGACCGTAGTAGGCTATAGAGATTGGAAGGACAGTAGCAGTAGGACGGTACTCCTGTAGAACTCTCGGCGTCAAGTGTTGGCACGGCAGAAGTCCGTGCCTTAAGTGGTGGTCTAGTAGAAGTCCGAGCCTCAGGTGGTGGTTCGGTAGAACTCTGAGCGTCAGGTGGTGGTCCTGTGGAACTCAGGGCCTCAAGTGGTGGTCTGGTGGAGCTCTGGGCCTCAAGTGGTGGTTCAGTGGAACTCAGGGCCTCAAGTGGTGGTCCGGCAGAAGTTCGGGCCTTAGGTGGTGGTCTGACAGAACTCCAGGCATCAGGTTGTGGTCCGGCGGAACTCAGGGTCTCAAGTGGTGGTCCGGTGGAGCTCAGTGTAAAACCCTTCAAAAAGCTGATTTTTTTTAGTGCAGTTCGTCTGTACGAACTGGATTTAGTACTGGACGAACTGAAGAAATTTGTGAAGAAGCGGAACTCAGGGCCTCACGTAGTGGTCCAACCAAAGTCCGGGCCTCAGGTGGTGGTCCGGCAGAACTCCGGGCATCAGGTGGTGGTTCGGCGAAACTCAGGGCTTCAAGTGGTGGTTTGGCGGAACTCTAGGTGTTGGTCCGGTGAAACTCTAGACGGGGGTCGAAGAGGAGCGAGAAGGCAAGAGCGATCTCCAATCTCTCTCTTGCTCTCTTGCTTGGAGCCCCCCTTTCAAGAGGGAGGAGGGGTCTATTTATAAATTTACTAGTGGCATGGCCCGTAAATAGGAGGAGGATCAAGGGCAAATGGGGAGGGGTTTGGATAGATGACCGATATTAAATCCCTTGATCGTAAACCATTCGCTAGACATTTGAAGGTCTTAATGATGTTGGAATTATGTGATCTTGGGCTCGTTGGATTTGTTTCGTCAAGCCGCTCGATTCGATTATAAGCATGTCATGTTTGAAAACCGTTTGGTAATCCAAGTTGTGGTTAGAACCTTCAAACAATGCTTTAGACCCTTGATTTGGACCCATTTGGGCTTGGATTGAGTTGAAATTGGTGTCGTTGAGTTCGTATTTCCGAGACGTTCAAGTCGATTGTAAGTTTGCTGAAATCGGAGTTCGGATGGTCACAATTTTAATTTTGAAAGTTTCCAACTTGATTTTCCTCGAGATTAGTGCCCGATCAACATAATTTTTTGAGAACGTATCAACAAATATCTACTTTTAATGATCGGATTGCTTTCATTGACATGATCGTTCTTTTTGTAAGGGTATTGTCGATCGGTTCAACCCTACTCAAAAATAAAGTAAGAGTTATTAATTGAGACCTGAACCAATAGCTGATACAAAGAATCTGATCTTATACATACTTGAACTTAAGAGTGAATCAACAAACATAAAAGCAATATTCATTTAGAACATTTACGAAGAAGTTACAAGTCTTTGGCTTCCTTTGGAGCGACTTTCTAGCTTGTTGCTTCTTAAAATAACTTTTAATACAAAATTTTTAATTTTTATATTAAAAAATTATTTTAAGAAGCAATCCCAAACGAACCTTTATCTTTCGCCTCTAGATCAAATCAAACCTTCTGAAAATTTTATTCAAGATACTTTATTTAGACTTCAACAACAAAATAAAATAAAAAACTGAGCTTGATCGTTCGAAGGATGATCAGTAAATTAAAATTTCTGGATGAATTCATATATATAGTTTGAGATTTCTTCAGCCCTTTCCTGATTGATAAAGTGGCCAACTCCTTCCATCACCACCACCTCCTCAAGCAATGGAACATCTCTCCTGAACCCACCCTTGTGAATGTAATCCTCCATTCCTCCACAACGGTAAGCAAGATCAACATCTCCTACGATGAACTTCGTAGGAACTTTTATCTGAACCTCTTCCCATGGAGCACTGAGCTCCCAGTTCCTGCATCATTAACATTTTCTTAATTTTCTTCACAACTTCATAATCTCCATTAATTATGAAAGCTTTATCGATTACTTAACGTACGTACTTGTCTATGTTACGGTAGTAGTTGATTGCACCGGTAAATCCTGTCTTTGTAAACTTGCTTGCATAGTACTGTGCATCATCTTCAGAAAGCCAACTGGGTAAGATAATTTCTTTACCAAGTCTTCCTGTGAATCCGCCGTGCTTTGGTATCATAAAGGGCCCTGGATTTCGAGACGTTAAGAAACTCTTCATGAGCAGAGCTGTATCAACTTGAGCAAATTGAGCTTCCACTTCTCCAGGTTCCTGAATCAGATCATGATTAATACAAATCATTTGCTTTCAAATTTTCCTGAAAGATTGTATATTTTTTAAGAAAATTAATTGATAATTTCGATGGCATGGTAAGATAATTCCAACTTTTATATATTTAAAAAAGTGTTTATATATTGAAATTAATGCATGAATTGATGCCGATATTGAAATAGTATTTTATAATTTGAATTGGTAAGTAAAACTGTTTTGTTTTACCTCTTCTTATTTAAAATTCAATATTTTTCTATAAAATTCATATATGTCCAACTTATTGGATCGATTCAAATGTGAACTAGTCCTCTGATTATTTTGGTCTAGTTTCAAAATCATTTTCGCTTAGAACTGATCAAAATTAGTTGGAACCAATGGTTAAAATCGATGAATCGACCGTTGAGCTCGATGTTTAATTTTGACCAAATGATTAGAAATATGATTTTAATTTTAAAATACTAATTATCCATATAACTTAATTATAAATTGATTTTTTTTTAATAAATATAAGAAGAGATATTGGTGAAATTTCTTCTAATTATTAATGTCATTAATATTTCAATCTAGTGACAGTGTTCTATATGTTTTGATAAGTATGTGTATAAGTGCATCTACACATAGCTAAAATAATTAAAATAAAATGTTATAAAAATTTTTTATTTAAAAATTTATATTCAAAAAATCTTTTATTTAAAATTTGATCAGAGAGTAAAGTGGCAGACCTGAAATCTACAAACGTAGAAATCGTCGCCGTACATCCTCCTCAAGGTGTCGATCCGCCACAGAGCCTGTTTTCTTGGAAAAAAAGCTACGCTGAGATTTACGAGCGCCTTGACCTTGTCCGGCCTAAAAGCGCAGAGATTCCACGCCACAATTGCACCCCAATCGTGGCCAACCACGAATACCTGCAAATTAAACATCTTTTCTCATTCTTAATCCTCCCTCCAAACAAAAAATTGAATTTTGACGGTGAGGAACACAGGAGAGATCGAATCTGATCATACCTGCTCTTGGCCGAGAGAGTCGATGAGGGCGACGAGGTCGCCGACGAGGTGGAAGATTGAGTAGGCGGAAACGTCGGCCGGCGCTTCGGTGTCGCCGTAGCCGCGGAGGTCGGGGGCGACGGCGCGGTAACCGCGGGCGGCGAGGGAGAGTATCTGGTGGCGCCATGAATACCAAAGCTCTGGGAATCCGTGGAGGAAGAGCACCACCGGCCCTTCTCCCTTCTCCGCCACGTGCATCTTTATTCCGTTCACCTCCACCATCCTGTGTTCTATTCCTTCTCCCTCCATCTCTCTCTCTCTATCGATCGCTTGGGGTGTTTTTGGGTGCCTTTATACAATTACCAGAGGAGCTTTCCCTCTGGTTTGATAACTCTTCTCTACCACAGTTGTTAACAGCTACACGCTCAAATATACTCAGCCATAAAACACAATAATGCCTGCATTCGCATGATTGCTTCTTCCCATTTATTTAGTGAATTTAGGAAGATTTATTAAGTGAATTTATACAAACAGATTTTTAGGTATCCTTTACTACTTTTTACAAAGGTTTTTAGTACATAAATTTATAATTTTTTTTAAAAAAAAATTGAACTAAAAAATTACTTTAAAAAACAATACAAATGAAATCTTAGACTTTGTTTAAGACGACTTCATTACTGCTGTACTAAAAAATTATTTTAAGAAGCATTAAAAAAGCCGCCCAATCTTCGCTTATAAATTTGAGAGGTATGTGAAATCATGAAAAATCTCATTGAAAATATCTCTCCCAAAAAAATGGGATCACGAAATGATAATATCGAAAGGATTTTATGACTGATGGATTTGAGGATGATTTTGAGCTACATATACTATAATCTACCATTTATAATTCACAAATAAAGAATATCTTTATTTAAATTTGATTACCATAATTTTTAATTATTGGATTTGTTTTAAGATTAATCCTATTTAAGATTAATTTACTCTACTAATTTTAATATTTCAAAATAAAAACATAAACTTAAAAAATAATACATGATTATGAATTTATGATAACTTGTCCTTTTTTCGAATTATTTTATAATATATTTATTGCCCCTAAAAAGATTACTGTAATTTTTGAGATATTTTTATTTTATTAAGAATAATTAGTTATATTTATTTTGATTTATCTTATAAGATTTTGTTTTAGGGCAGGTTAACTGTGTTTACTTTTTAAAACTCTTTTCTCAACCAAATTAGGCTTTGTTTGGGGCAGCTTTAAACTATTTTTTTATGCTTTTATAAATTTTTTTTACTAAAAAGTTATTTTACAAAGTATAAAAAGCCATCCCAAATGAAGATAGCTTTCTTAGGTCATCTCCAACCGAGAACTCTATTTTTCACGCCAAAATACTGCAAAAAGCAAAAATGGCGTGGTGCTGCTCCAATCCAACGCCATTTTTTTGCTTCTGCGCCAAGGTAACGACCCTTCTCCTTTCCCGCATTTTTCCGGTTGACAGAGAAAAATGGCCGTGGGTGACAGTGCAACGCCAAATATTGGCGTTGCACTGTTACTCCGCAAGCAAATGGAGGATTTTTGGCGTTCGGCTGGAGCGAAAGGAATGACGCAAACGCTCGTTTGGCGGTTCGTTGGGAGATGCCTTACATATTTATTAAAAGTCTTTCACCCGTAAAAATTCATAAAAGAAAAAAAAATGAGAGATAGTAAAAATATATTCCAAAATATTATTTTTAAATGCAAAAACTAAAACAATGTCTTCCAAAACAACATTATTTTTTATATAATTTTTATCACAAAACAATTCAAAGTTGCTACAAACAAAGGCCTAAAAATCTTATAATTTAGTATTTTTATGATTTAAAATTATTCCTATAATATAATTGATTTTAATTAAAAAATCTCAAATATATATATATATAACTATATATATAATATATATGAGTAATATATTATAGTACTATATAGTATTATATATATATATATATATATATAATTTGTCCAGAACTAACATAGAAAAATAAATAGAGCTAATCAAATAGACAATGGGGCTAATGGACACTTAGATTGCTGAATCCTCTAACACAGTGCGTACTTGACACTATAGAACCAAAAACAAAAATTTGACCTTTGTATATAATATGACCAAAAACTTAGGACTAAATTTAGTTGGACTGAATTTTATATAAAAGGCGAGGAACATTACAAAAGGATTTTTAAATTTATTTAGGAATTATTTTATTTTTTACAAATAATGTTAAATATTATATATAAAGTTATCAATATTATGAGTAATTATAGAATTATAACTATGGTATATATTATAAAAATTTTAATTGTGCTATAAAAATACAATAATCAAACTGATAGTGTGTTTATATAATATTTAATAATAAAAAAATGTAGACTCATAAGATCAATTTTCTCTCCCACCATTTGCAACAAAATATATCATTTTTCTATATATGGAAGAAGTAATTATTACGAGAGAGTAATCATAATATATTTGGATTTTTAATATATAAAATAAAATCAATTTTTAATGACATCGCATCTTTAATATTGTTCATGTATATATATTATTTATTAATATGAATTCGGATCATATTAGATAAAGAAAACAAATATACTAACGTGATATATACAATTAAAATTATTAGAATATGCTAAAATACAAGTCATATGATAATGAGCAAAAGTGTATTGCAATGATTTTGATTGTGTGGTGTCCTTAACTATTTCTTAATTTAAATAATTACTATTTTGGCTCTTTTTAAACATTAGAGAGAGGAAAAAAAATTTATCAAAGTTATTTACTACAATTCTTACCATAAAAAAATGTTCATTGGTGTGCCAAAAATCAGGATGGACAATATTTAAGGTGAATGCTTTGTGATGATTCTTCATTTCTAACTGTTGGAGATTTTCAAACCTAGTAAGATCTTTTGACATCTGCTAATTAAGCCAATCATTAGCCACACATTCTATAGAGATTCAAACTGTTCAATACTGAGAACACATATTGGAAACAGGCTTCGTTACTGGCACTCTTAGGCTTCGTTTGGGACGGCTTTTTTATTGATTATTCTAAAACGGGGTTTTATACAAAAAATAAAAAAAATTATTGTACTTAAAAACTCCAGGTTTTAGACAAGCCAGTACAATAAAAGCCGTTCTCCAAACAATGAAGCCTTAATATACAACTTTCTATAAAAATAATAAAATCTTTGCGACTGGTCTGAGTGGACTATGATGGATTTTTTTCCTTGGATTTTCTCATACCAACCCATCAGTATCCTCAAATCAAACACCGCATTTCTTTATTTAAAAAAAAAACTATATAACTTGTGCATGAGAGAAAAAAAAAAACTTTGAGAAGATGTATGAAATATATACCAATTACCCCAATGCTAGCTTATATCCTATTTACTACAAATAAAATTATTTCCTTTTTAAAAATGGGAGTTCATAAAGAGCATAATCATTTCTCATATTTCAATCAAAGCATCTTCTTAAAGTAATCATGACATAATTTTGACAAAATTATCGGAAATTTTGTCTATGCAGCTAAGACTTAAGAATTAGATTTCCTAAGAAATGAAATTAAGATATGAATCTATTTGTCTAACCTTACAGAAACCAACATCATAATGAAGGTACGCATGGCGAAAATTCGATAAATCAGAAAGGAAATGTAACACCATCTCTCCAACTAGCCATAGAACACAACTCTGCTCGATGAGTCCATAACAATAGAAATCCTATCGTCATTTGAAACTTGAACTTTGTCCTTCGTATAGTTCAAAATAGGGTACAACGAGGCAAAATTCTTCCTTGTAACGTTTAACAAAGGTACTTCGGTTGTGCAGAAGTCTGGCCATTGGGTTAAAGAAATTGCTGTTCGCAGTGTCATTGTGTGGCGTAGGTCTGTAGGGTTTCTGGTCCCACGATGGCAAGGGGTTGTATTTGAAGTGATTTGATTTGAAACCACTAAACTAAGTCAGTAAGGGAACTGGACATTAGTTATGTTGTAATACCACTTAAGTGTAGAAACCGTTAAAGGCAGAGCCTCGGTCAGAATTGACCGCCAGGAGATGGAAGAAGAGGGAAAAATAACACAGAAGCAATATATTGATTATCACCTTTGGCTAGGTACAGTGTCTAGTATATAATAGGTGAAGATAGAAGGTACGAGATACAGTACCTTCTAAACAAGCTGAATTGGGTAAAGAAAAAATCCGTTATAATCTATACACTTAAGTTGCATAGTCTGAGTGTAGCCCCGTCAGAAGCTGATGATGCTGCATGAATAGTCAGTTTGGGATTTAATTCTTTGATCTTGAAGTGGGAGGGCTTAGTGAAATATATGCATTTGGGGTAGGTGGTCGCGATCGGAAGAAGCGGATCACTCTGATTTTAGATTTGGTCGCCGAACAAAACCGGTGATCGATTTCTATATGCTTTGTGCGTGCGTGGAACACCGGGTCATGCGCGAGGGCAATGGCGACCATGTTGTCGGAAAAGAGATCGTGGTGGGCTGTGTTGAATGAAGAAATCATTGAGCAACATTTGAGGCCAGATGGTTCGGCGATGGCTGTCGCGGCGCCCGGTTCTTGATTTGTGGATGAACGGGCCACTTAGTCCTGCTTTTTGACTGCCACAAGATGAGCGTGTTGCCTAAGAAGTTGCAGTGTCCGGTGGTGGACTTTCCTCGTCGGTGGGTCGCGGCCCAATCGACGTCAGGTGGTAGATAGAGTGAGGCGAGCCTTGGAGGAATGGGTAGACCGGAAATCCAGAGTCCCTTTGATGTACCTCAGCAATCTCTTGAGCAGGTAAATATGCTGTAGAGAGGGATCGTGCAGATGTTGGGTAACACATTGACAGCATGAGCAATGTATGGCCAGGTTCTTTCATGTTGAGGTGAATGCAGTTTTGACAGAACATTTGAGATGGCTTCCGCATTTTTTTTTGGTTTCCAGTTAAGAGAATGTCGTCGACGTAGACCAAGAGGAAAATGTGGGGTCTGATCTTGACGAAGAGTGAGCAGAGATGGATCCGCTTTAACTGTATTCGGAACCGAGCTGGATGAAGATAATTCGTGATGTAGTAATACAATTAATGGCGGTGCTAGCGTAGGCACTAGGCGGTATATGGATTTGCGTAGCCAGCGACGTGATCGGGATGATTGGTGTCACAATCGCGCGCGGCTGAGCGCATGTAGACAGTGGTTCAGTGAGTTGGCCGCGGAGAAACACGTTGGAACGTCCAACTGTGCAACCGACCAACTTGAGATGGCGATGGTAAATAAGAATCTGATGGTGGGGAGTTTAGCCACCGGGGACTAAACGTCTCGCCGTAGTCGACTACCGTATTCCCTGCTGGTTTCG